TTTTTTTTGTGCAAGGAGAAGGCTTTGGATCACGTTTTAACCTTTACTGATTGATTCTGTTTTGGACGGCGTTGAGGATGACTATCTACAAGATGAGCTGGAGATGTTGTCAACCAGCGCTCGTGGTAGAGGCATGGGCCGAGGAGGAGGACCGGGTCGACGAGTACCAAAACTTGGTCTGCTTTTTGTCAAGACCCGTTTGAATAGTTTACAATGGCCATTTTGCTAGGAGTTGGCGGTTTTTTTGTAAAAATACCGCGGCATCGATTGCTGACTATGGAAGAGGAAACACAAGACGAGGATGGTAATAAAAAACAAAAACGTCCCCGAAAACCGCGTCGGAGTCAATTAGAAGACGCATATCCTCCAGCTATACAGGTAGTTTTTAGTGAGCCCTTTACAGATCTAGTGCTATCTAAGATGTCCTTCTTTGTTCAGGAAGGCTTTTTTGGAATGCGCCCTGTTGAAGGCAAAGCACTTATTGATGCCGTAGTGGAAGAACCATCATTAGCTGAGTATGGTAGAGGGAGAACAACCACCACTACTGAAGCAGGGAGTAGCGGTCATGAATTGTCGCACGAAGCCACTGAACAGCTAAAAAATGATTTAACGGAGGTGATTTTATCAGTTTCATATTTCGCATGTTTATAATTTCAAAACAGGTGGACATTCTCAAAAATCTGGACATTGGTGATCTTGGTGATGTAGATATTGACAACATGGACATGGATTTCACTAGTTGGATGGAAGATGACGAGGATGACGATTTTGATGACAGCTTGAATGGTATTTTTTTACGACTTAAGCTCCGATATTACGAACAGCATAATTGAATGGCGAATACACTGTTTTTCTTCATCCTTGCTTACACAAGCTCGTCCTTTCTGCAGTTTATTTTAACTGTTTTACAGTAATTCGAAATAAGAAAGCTCTTATAAACAACTATTGGTGTACTAATTTCTCTAATTCCTATGCGTCCATAGCCTTTCGTAAAGCTAGATATCTTTCCAACATATGCAAGCAACCATATTATCATTTATCAGTTTCTTTCTTATTATAGGTAGATTAGTTAATTTCAAAACAATCTGGTGTATTCAGATGCATTCGACATTGTAAAGGCGGATGGTTTCGAGCCAACCACCAACAGTGACTCTACGTCTGCACCATCTTCTGCTGCTCCAACAGGCCCAACGAGTCAGTCATCTTTAAGAGCTAGAAATTAATCTTGTTCATATAGCCTTCTTTGTTAAGTTTCTTCATGTGGTTATCGTCTTTGTTTCAGCATTTCCCAATGATGTATCAAGTAACAACGTGACCCCTGCTCCGACAACTCCATCCTATATCATCCCGAATACAACTAAATCTCTATCGAGAAGCAGTAGTCAAATGGACGGAGTAGAGAAGAATAATCCTACGACGGAAAGGTGAGTAAAGCGATTTATTCTGGAAAGAGAAAAATACTGCAATCGTTTAAACACTAACATACATTTTCTTACATTTTCTCTTTAATATGGATTAATCGTTTTCGTTATAGGTGGGAAGAAGATGAGCCTCTAGGCAGTCAGGCAACAAAAGCAGCTGTGCTTTATGCAAATGAAAGGCACGCCTATCTAAAGGTGAATAAATTGTAAACGTTGTTCCATAACACTTGGCAGTCTTTCTTGCTTCCTTTTACATTTGCTGATGTTTGTGTGCATGTTTCTTATTCATTTTCTTTGATGCGGCTAACTTATGCGTAAATGAACAAACTATGATTTTATCACCCAGTTCTAAAATATTCTCTTTCTTTATTTATCAAATTTTCGATGAATATTGTGTAGCACTGGACCATTTTGTTTTTTTAGGAGAAGTATCCCGATTGGAACGATCGTGTAAAACATATTCAGCGCCTCTGGCGTGTCCTAGACACTGAAAACAGACAGGATTTCGTGAGCAGAGCAAGAGAAAATCGCGCCAATCGCGGAAAACAACCAAGAATGAAGCGTGCAGGAGTAAGTATTGCGTGGTTGTCTATGGCTTGTAAATTACCACTTTATGATTTTTTTAACAGCAGCAACAACAACAGCAATCGTCCTCCGGCGTTGATGAGCGGTTCAAGGTCCCAAACATACCGGGTGGTGGCCAGATGCGACCAGATTATTTTCATCCTGAAATGGGAGCCCAACCGAATCAAGATGTTCCCGTTCAACAGATACGCTCCACGGCTCATCTAACACAACCAGTACGAAAGTTTGATCATTTGGGGCTAAAGTATTTTGTGCCACCAAACAGTAGTTTTACAACAGAGTTTCGCTTTCACTTAATCTATCAATCTTAGGTTCTCGAGCAGTATGAGCTAATGCGGACACGAACGCTCGATCTGCAGAAACATCAGCAAGTATGTTTTGAGCTTGAATTTTTTCCACTCTCAATGATAATCTTCTTTGAGTAAAAATATAAGTGAAACTTCGTGTACTTTCCTTCTAAATACCTTTGTCAGGTCATCGAATCGGACTTGAACAGGATGCGAAAGCAAAAGAAGAATCTTGCTGCTAAACGCCGTCAAATGATGAAAAGTGCTGGAACTGATGCTGACGGTAAACAGATTCCGGTAAGTGGGTCAATCGCAAAGTGTTGAAACTTCTTTAAATCAGTCATTAGGATTCTCATGATTTCTTTGCTTAGGTCGATTTGAATGAACAGGATCGAATGGCTCTACAGGCTTTATTAGATCAAATCCCTGCCAGACAAAAAGTATGTGTTTTACATTATATTTATTTGTGCCCTCTTTGATCGTCATTTTCATTGATTATCGAACGCATTGACAACCGCAAATCACGGGTGGATCTCGCCTTCCTTTGGAGTGTGGGAGTCACACCTATCTGATCGCATTGTGTCGCTCAATTTTGAACTTTTATAGATTTGTAATCTGTTCAACAGTTGATTTATTTTGAGATCAATCTAGTGCATGGAAAAGCGCGTTGTCCCTAAGCGCTAGACCGTAAACAATGCGCGATCTCCGTAGGTCTATGTATAATTCTTGCTTTTTCCAGGACTTGGAGTCGTGTAAGCGTGATCTGAAGTCTCATTTGGCAACTGTTTATGAATTTGAGCACAAATGGAACATTGTTCGCAATGTTGAACCTGGAGACGCCATGCGCATGGCTATGGCCCAGCGAGGTGTGGCTGGTCCAGCTATACCTGGTGGTCCCATCGTTGCTCCTCCTGGTCAACCGCTTCCGTCACCAACAACAATGGGCGGAGCTCCTCCTCAATTCCATTCTCATTTGGCAGGAACTTCTCCTCAATTTCAACAAATGCGCGTGCCTCAGCAGATGCCTTATGGGACTGTTTGCGCCCCACCGCCAGAGGTGCAAAGAGCTCCGATGCAGGTAGCTTAGTTTAGAATGTGACAATGTAGATCAAGTTCTTATTTTGGATTATGCTTAAAACACTGGAAACTATAAAGGTTGAAATTGATTAAGGATGTATATTGAGCAAACCATCTCCCAATGTAGTCCTTGGAGTACCTTCGAGTAACAGCTAAAGCGACTTTTTCTAAACGATCTTTCCGCCCTTTTGCGAATTTTTAAGTGATAAGATAGATGTTCTCTGTGTTGTAAAATGATTTACACTTCTGTTCCTTGTATGAAAACTTCACCTTCAGGTTGCTCGGTCAATGTGGACACGTATGCCAGCTCCAGTGCTTGGCGGCATACACTATGAACGTCTTCAAACCCCATTTGAAAAAGAGGTTTGTTTTTTCTTTTTTGTGAGGAGGTATTTCTACTCTTCTCTTTCACAAGTTTGTCTCATGCATTGTTCAGGTGTATGAATGTCTTGATGACGTAGTAAGCAGGGTATCCGTTCATTTCGACGGTCGCGATTTCGCTCGCGAGGGACTTGCTGGGCAAGGTATGCTGAAACGTCTGCTCGAGCCTGCTATGGGGCAACAAATGCCACCTATGGGCTCTGCAGCAAATCCAGGAACATCGAATCATCTCATGGAGCAGCTAGAACCACCGAGGCCGAAAAAGAAGCGCACGCAGCAGAAGAAGGTATCATAAACATTTTTGATTTATTTTTGTAACAGTATCTATTTTCAGTTTGAAACATTGGGTATGGGGAACGAATACGATTTGATGGTAGAAAGAGTAAATACTCAGCTACGACTTTGTGAGCAGTTGCCTAAACGGGCGTTAGAACCTGCACCACGTAACCCTGGTGCCGCTTTTGCTACTATGGGAATCAGTGATCTTCCTGATCGTCGCGGTAGATATTTGTCAAACTTTTATCGACTCTTATCTCCATGTGAATTTCTTTGCTGCAGTGTATATCATTCCTATGCGAGATTGATAATATATTCAGACAAGCGTGCTCTGGTTGGAAATGAGTTTGGTAACTTATCATTATCCTTTGTTGACGATTACTACACTGGCTCTAGTCGTGACATTGGAAGCTTAGAAATGTCCAGCCTTTCAATGTCGGACCTCGCACCTCAGGCGAATCTTTCGGCACTTTTGGGGTAAGCTATGGATCTCCAAACCTAGTTAGTTGGAGTCTTGACAATTCATTGCAGAATGTCACCACCTCCGGTTTATGATATGGTTGTTGATGCCGAGGACGCCGCATACGGCACGTTTGACCAGTGGGTGGTATTCGCTCATGCGCTGGATCGACAACCATCTGCAGATCATATGCGTGTTGCGAGCAAGTTGCCAGAGTTCACTATCCCACTTGAACCTCGTCGAAAAGTCTTTGATATGGTACAAACCTATACTTTTGTTAGATTCACGGTAGTATCTACCATGCCTGTTTAGAAACCAGAAACTTTGGAAGAAGTTGAAGTTTCTTTGGTCGTCAAAGAGGAGTCAACAGTCCCTCCAGGAATGGGAGTAGCTGCTTTATTCGAACAACTGCGGTCCATTCTCGGAGTACAGCAAAATATCGATTATCAACTTGATACGCCACCCCTGTCACCGGAGGCGTCTCTGAGAGGTAATTTCTGCTATGGGTATCGTCTCAAATGGATATTTACCGTAGATTTTGTTTTGTGCCTCCTATTGCTATTGTATTTAACAGTAAGACTAATTCACAACCTTGCGGTTTTCCTTTTCAGCTGAGAATATTGATAAGGTGAAACGTGAGCCAGTGGAGCCAACTGCACCAGTTTGCGGTGGAAGATGTCGCGCTTGCGATAGAAGTATGGAAGCAGTACTCATACAACAGACAATGAGCCAGCTGGGTTTGACACCTACTGATGACGAGGTTTTTCTCAGAGACCAAATGAAGCAGTGCTTGATTGACTATGCTCTCTTTCAGAAGGATGATACTGTTTGCTTCTGCTCTATGAAGTGTTATTATCAGTTTGTCGCCGCTAGCAAGGTTTGTCTCCGTAATTCTCAATATAGCTCGAAAGGTATCTGATTGTGTGTGCACCGATAAGTTGATTATCCAGGTTGCTTTGTCCCCAGATCAGCTTACAGCAGCCGAATCACATGTTGATGAAGATACCCTTGCGAAACTGAGGCAAATCAGTGCTGAGAGTTTTGCGAAATGTATAAATCAGGGGAAGGTAAGCACGCTTCTTCCTGCTCACTTTATCACTATCTTGAGTCGCATAAAAAGCTGTTTTTACAGATGCGAATGGATCTTCCACCAGCTCCAGCTGTTCCTCCTGATGCCTTCTTGACATCACCGCGCGATACCCGCTATGTCATGGACGAGGGTAGAAGGGACAACGTGCAGGTAAGATCAAATTTTCACATTTGGTCGTGTTTGATTAGAACGTTGCAGATCATCCGTGTTGCCGATTTGGCAAGCGTCCATGATGTTTCACAACGTAAAGACCCAGGTCGCAGTCCTGGTGATGACTGGAAGACATACAATCGCGATTTGTTGCAGTCATTTTATAAGATTCAGCAAACAAAACATGTAAGTAGAATGCAACAGTTCTAAAGATTTTTTGCTTTATTCATTTGATGCGTGCTTTTCCTTTCACGGTTAATCTATGTTCTCTCTAATCTGTTGGAGTTATTCATATGCATGTTTTATGTATACGGCTTCAGGAGTTAGCTTTGTCACCAAAAATGGGTGTCGGTTTGGGCCCTTCATTCGAACTTGACCGTCGTGTTTGTGTTCTTTGCGGTGGAATAGGTGATGGAGATCCTGCTCTTTGTGGACGGCTTCTCAACTTAAGCGCAAACCTATGGGTTCATGTCAACTGTGCGATGTGGAGCACAGAGGTAAAGAGACGTTATCTTGATAAAGTGTTTCTAATATGTCAACTATCAGCCTTGGTAACTGCAGGTTTTTGAATCCTCTTCTGGAGCTCTTCTTCACGTTGATCGCGCCATAGTCCGAGCAGCTGGAGTCATCTGTCACCTATGTGGACGTGTGGGAGCTAGCGTCCAATGCCACAAGGTTGACTGCAACGTCAATTTCCATCTACCATGCGCGGCTAAAATCCAAACTGCCAAGTTCATCAAAGACAAAGTGAGCAAGCTACTTATGTTTGATACCCCACAATTTTGAATACTCCGACAAACAATTCTTGTAAATAGTATGGCGGAGATTTCTTGATCCTTTAAATTGTAGCTCATTTTTGTTGTTAACGCAATCTTATAATATCTTGTTCCAGACTTTTTTCTGTACGAAGCATCCTGAGATTAGTCCTGATGTCATGGTCTCATCACTAGAGGCTCTCAGAAGAATATACATAGAAAGGGATGAAAACGCCTTGTTGTCGCGGCTATTCGATTTATCCGATTCTACTACGCGTTTATGCCTTCGATTAGGTGCACTGTGCTTCTTTCAAGTCGGACAGCTCCTTCCAGAGCAACTAAAGACGTTCCACAATCAAACTCACATATTTCCTGTAAGTTTTGAGTAGCCGACTAATAAATTTTGAGAGCACTTTTTTTTAGAATGGATACCATGCATCGCGCTGGTTCTGGTCGGCAAATGATCCAAGAACACGATCATTGTATAACTGTAGGATCAAAGATGTTGATCATAGACCGAAATTTGTCGTATCATGTGGAGATCGTACGTATGAGGGCGATAGTGCAACAGGCAAGTCGTCTTGTTCCCTTTCTGAATACTTCTTATACACCTCACCTTTACATTTTGCTCCTTGCAAAGATTGAGAATTTACAAGAGACCCGATAATTGTGGTCTACATGGTATGTTTTTCAGCAGCATGGTCGGAAATAATCACAGCTGTGGAACGAATGCGTGCAAAAGCAGACGCATTGCGTTTCTTTGCCAAAGGTATCCAGGGAGAGACGTTGTTTGGTTTAAATGAATCCGCGATAAGCAAGATCACTGAATCAGTAAGTGTTTCCAAACAGTTTCTCATTCGAATGGTTTAATTGATATTTAAAGTGCAAACAATATTCTTTTCGCTTGATTGGTGCAAATAGGAATGGTTAGATGGTCTTCCTTCACCCATTTCAGTAACTAAGTAAGTAATTTTTTCAGCTACCCGGTGTTGATGGATTATTCACGTACACGTTCCGCCATCCGGGCAGCCCTTTACTCGATCTACCTCTAGCTGTCAATCCATCTGGATGCGCCCGTTGTGAGCCAAGATTTCGAACTCTCATAAAACACAAGCAGCGTGCACTCGCAAGTGCGCCATCTAGCAGGCAAGAAAAGTAATGGTTCAAAAGTAGCTAGTTTTGTCAAGTGAAGTGCTTTTTCTGGCGACATCCCCTTATCTGGAATAATTTAGCCGATCAACACAAGACATTGCGTCAAGTAGTAGTAGCGGACGAACAAGAGGACGTGTCGGATCGTCTTTCACGGATGAGTTGGCCAATGCTCAAATGCGAGCCATGTTGCAAGCCTCTGGTATTGGAGCTGAATGGGCATTGGTGAGTGTGTGCTTGAGGTTTTCATTCATTGCCTGTACAATTTTCGGCAGTTGTCAGCTCTTTCCTGTTCGTTGTTCTTGGTATTTTATTTATAATGCAGCTGCGACTTATTAAATTGGTTTCAATAGTAACTGAAAGTCAGTTAATTCCAAATTACGATTTTTACGTTTTGTCATGATTAATTCCCAAAATCGAAGCCTAAATCAGTTTTTTTTTTCAAAATCGAGACCTAGCGACATTCAATTTGTGGTCGAAAATTGAGTAGGGTCCACGTTCTGTTTGTTTTCTTTGTGGTTGCTTGTATGCAAATGTTGTTGTTGCTAAGGAGAGAGGGAGGGGGGACGAATATGCTTCTTCGAATAAATTGATTCGTACCAGTCACATACTCAAAAAATATATTTGGATTTTTATTAGTCGAATACTGGGGAAGATGCATGTAGATTATTCGAATAGTCGAATTTTGAAATCGATATTCAATATTCCCACAAGATAAAAAGAACTTTTGCAGACAAAGGGGCGACGTACGACGCCTTTGAGTTTCGAGCGTGTTTAGCTGTTTTTGCAGCCATGGAGGGTTTGTGAGATTATAGTGTTTCTTTACCTTTTCTTTTTCAGGCAAAAAGTATCAGCTGATTATCTAAGCAGGTATTTGGTGGGGCAAGGTAATTTTGTTAAACCTAAATGAGGAAAATCAAGCCATTTTCAATCGTTGTTCATAAATGGAAAAAGCACTGTATAGGTTATGCACCGTAAGATCACTTCCTTAAAAAGAAGGTAATCTGTGGTGAGCCACTTAATCGAGCGCTATCTTGGCTGAAACAATGAATTACGCAAAGAAGGATGCAATGGTAACAGCAAACTTTCATGCAAATTGGACGAAAAGCTCTCACAAAACGAAATGATATAAGAAAAGACAATGGAAGAAGCGAAAAATGACGAGACTGCATAAACTACGAAGATGCGAAGAATCGCGAGAATTATCCACGAGAATAGTTGCTGGAGCATTTGTCTATTTACCATAGGCGAGAATGAGATAGGCAAGAAACACCTGCTTAATAATCAGCTTGTATTTTCTGCCTGAGGAAGAAAAGAAATCTGAAGAAATACTATTAAAACTCACATACTAGATTCAGATTGGCCGGCTCTTACAACGCTTATAAGCGCAACAAGAATCGGCGGATCGAAGGTGCGTTACTGCGCCGAAGTCACCATCATTCTGGGGTTCCGTTCTCATCTTTTCGGCACCTTGCTTCTGGGAACTCCATATAACCTGAAGAAAAAAAGCGAGTCAAAGTCGGAAGAAAAAAGTGAAGGGCTGGGATAGAGCCGATTTGCGCCAAATCGGTACTTAACAGGGGGCTGCGGCGCAAATGCCACCCCCGCACCCCCTTGATCGGCCGATTCTTATTGCGCTTATAAGCGTTATGAGGGTCGGCCTATCTGATTCGGCCGATCCTTATGAAGTATGGAGATATCTCCAGAGAAATCAGCGCGCCGCCCCTTTGTCTGCAAACTTTTTTGGTGTTAGGAATGGACTACATTCGAGTCCGAGTAGTTTAAAAACTTTGATCTCAATACATTTATTCACATATACCTGTGAAATCACCCAATGTTTGTTTGTCCGAACAATGGCCATCGACTATGTTTGAGATCGAATATCCATGTTTGAGTGAAATATTCAAACAACTTTGTTGCAGAAAATCTGTAATTTTCGCAAAATCGCTCTTATTCGAATAAGACTATGCGGCATGTCCGATTATCAAATGTACAGTGGATTGAAGAGTTGAAAATTTGGGGTTACTGTTCAACTTCGAATTCGAATAAACCTTAAAATAGCGTTATAATATTTTTTCGCTTAAATATCGCCACGATTGAATATACGCTGTGCGTATCATTGCTTGTAGCTGTCAGCAATTCGCCGCGCGCTCTGCTGCCGCTGGTGCACGCTGGGGATCACAGAACTCTCCCACTCTTGTTCCCCTTGTTAGATCTAGTTCTCTCATGGGTCTAGTACCAAGGCCATTATGATTCCTGAAGGTAATGCAGACTCATTTTTCTTTTAGGACGCAGTAAAAAGACTTGCAATCTACCGTTGTTTCATCGTCAGATCGTGAAAAGAGTTGCACTTTATTCACTGCCATTCGAATCATTTGATTGGAGTAGCTATGTAATTTGTTAACACTGTCGCTGTTCTTCTCTTTTCAACTTCTCATCTGGTGTGTTAGTTTCTTATCTATAGAAACAATTTTTTTT